CTTTTCTGCCCAGGGTTGGCGTCCATCTCCTCCTCAGATCATTGCCTCATGAGTAGGTAGGATTATAGATATGAGCCACTAACAATCTACTGATTTTTATTTCTTTATTTTCTTGTATAAGCCACCTCACCTGGCTAATGTTCAACTTTTAAAAATTCTTAGTCCTCTGTTGTCATCCACTGACTTCTAAGTATTTAATCTGCCCACATTTGAGAAGGTGACCACTAAGGACAGGATGTATCCCAAAAAACAATGGCACTTAAAAAATCTATAATTATAATAATTAATGTTATCTTTCCTTTTATGAAGCTCTTGTGTACATTATTACATTTGACCATCACCGGGACTTGTGTAAGATAGGTATTAAGCCTCTTTTGCTGGTGCAGAAGCTTCATGATGAAAGATTAGATGAAGCCAGGTGCCAGTAGTTCACAACAGCATTTGTAGCTACTCAAGAGCCTGAGATCTGAGGATCATAGTTTGAAGCCAACCTGGTTAGGAAAGTCTCTAAGGTTATTATCTCCAATTAATCAGCAAAAAGCCAAAATAAAAATAGTAGATTTATGGCTCAAGTAGTAGAGTGTGGACAGTGCCCAGGCCCTGAGTTCAAGCCCCATTAAAAGAATATTTTTTTTAAAAAAGGAGTAGATGAATAATAGAATCAGACTTCAAGCCCTTCAATGACAGAAGAAATATGCTTGTTTTCCAGACTCCAGAATCTCCAGACACCTCCAGAATCCAGACTCAGCCTCCTCTGGCCCATCCAATCTCCAGAAGAGATGTCCACTTCTTGATTTGTGGAATCATTATACCCAGTTGTGCCCCCAAGGAAGCAGGCATGAAGTGGGAACCCACATAGGTGGGTCTTAGTTCCACTGACTTCGTTTGAGATATGCGCAGGTGCCTGGGGACTCTACTTTTGAAAGAGCTGCAAGGCCCCTAGAGAAAGAGGCCCTACTAGAAGGACATAATGAGAGGAAGAAAAAGATATATGTGACAAGTCTGGAAGGAGGTGAGTGCCATTTATATCTTCTCCCATCTCCGATAGTTTTTTGAGACAGTCTGACCATGTAGCCTAGTTTGGCCTAGAACTTAAAATTCTTCCCACCTCTGCATCTGAGTGCTGAGATTGCAAGTATGCACTATAATGCCCAGCTTCACATCACCTTCTGATCCAGCCTCCTGGGCCCTAGAGAGAGGAAACTGTAATAAAAAATTGAATAAAAATGTCATGCACTGATGGTTCACAGTGTTTTTCTAGCTACTCAGGAGGCTGAGATCTGAAGACTGAGGTTTGAAGCCAGTCTGGGAAGAAAATCTGTAAGATTCTTATCTCCAATTAAGCACTGAAATGCTGTAAGTGGAGCCATGGCTCAAGTAGTTGAGTCCTAGCCTTGAGCAAAAAAAAGCTAAAGGACAGTGCCCAGATCCTGAGTTTAAGGCCCAATACAAGCACCAAAATAAAAAAAAAATTTTTTTTAAAAAAAGGAAGAATGAAAGAAAAAAAGTCTGGGGCTAGAGAGGAAAGGACTAAGCATACTGCTATCAACTGCTTTCCTTCAGCACCTGGGCCCTCAGGAATACTAAGGTTTCTAGAAAGGAAATGGCAGGCACGCCACCAGCACCTATCACCAATAAAATGCCAGTTTGCTTCGGTAAATGTCATGGGTCAAGGCATTTCTGGAGCAAATATTAGTCTTGAGACATGGGCCCACAAAATGGAGCCCTGGTAGGCATCCAACAGAGTGCCCATTTGCAGTTTCCTTTTGTGAACAAACATACCATTTGCAAGTACCTATTTTTTTAAAAAGTAATCTCACAGCACTTTTAAAAACTGTGTTCTAAACACTCATCAAGCACTCGTTTGTTAGGGAGGAAAGCTGCCAGGCTTGTTGCAACACACGATTGCCTCAACAGTCCTCAGGAGAAGCAGCAACCAACCCTCATGGCCCGAGATGACCCATCAACGTGGCCCTCTTCTAATCAACAGCCCTAACACAGTAGAAACTCCTTCCTACCCCATAGCATACATGCACAGACATGCACACATGCACCTCTGGGTGCCCAGAGAAGGCAGCTTCTGCTGTCTCACCATTAGGAAGTCATTTTGTCAGGCCCTTAAATGTGGATGATTGGAAACCTGCTCACATAGTTGACAACACAAAAGCCAGTTGTTTGGTGTTTTGTTGTCTCCTCCCCCCCCCCAAACTTGGCACAAAGATGTTATTTATGCTTAAACAAGAATTGCTTTTTAATAGTTTTATTGTTTCATTAAAATGAATCTAAATACCCATTTGTGTTTTAGAATAAAAGTAAAAAATTAATCTTTGATCAACACATATCTTGCCATTAATTTTAATACACGTGAAGCTATTATCAAATCATAAAAATAAATAAATTCTGTCCAGGCATTGGTGGCTCACACCTATAGTCATAGCTACTCAGAAGGCTGAGATACGAGGATCAAGATTCAAAGCTAGTTCAGGAAAGAAAAGTCCATGAGTTAACCAGCAAAAAGCCAGAAATGGAAGTGTGGCTCAAGTAGTAGAGTGTCAGCCTTGAGAACAAGCTCCATTAATGTTAAAAATAATTACTTAAAAAAATTCTGACATGTTGGAAGTCATTCCTCTTTTCTGGAGTTTTGTCTATGTCTCCTCAAAGCTAGACATGTCCACAGACACCAGAAGCACAGAGGCCTTCTAAGAACTTGAGAGCTGGTATACCTCCTCTTTATACAGATATATGTGTTTGCTTCTGTCCTTGGAATTCAGGATAACGTTAGGTGGTGCAAGGAACTGGCACACTCTCTGAATTCCTTTATAACCATAATATTTTGGGTCTTTAAACATGACACTTACTCAGTAGCCAAAGTAATGGCTGAGGAAGAAAGGCCCACAGGAGAAAGATCACAAGTCCAAGACATGGAGACACTACTGACTGAGGGAAGAATGACAAAGTTCTGCTGATGTAACTTTATCTCCAAACAAAGACAAAAATTAAACATTTACTTTTCAGGAACTCTGGGCTTTGTGTCCATCCCCCTCTCTGGTTTTCCCAGGCATTCTCAGAGAACAGCTGCTTTCAGAGGTGACTCTTTGCTCAAATACAGATGAAATGAAATCAGAGAGATTTCTCCAGTCTTCATTGGCCCATTCTACTTAAGTTTGAGTCACACTAGCAAGATTCCAACAAAAGCTTGACAAACATTTTACCCTTGCTGGCTTATAAACTGACACCTGTGCTCTGACTGTAGCCAAAGCCATTGCTCTTTTCCTGGAGTGGTTTCCTTTCCCTTCCCCGAGAAACTACAGCTCACTTCCACATTCTGGAGTACCTTCTTTTATGTAAGAGTTATGTGACTGGCACCCCACTCTTCCTTTCCTTATATAGTCAGAATGAGAGGAGAGTGCCTCTGAGACTGTCAGTCCTCATTTTACACATGAAGGAAACTGAAGAACAGAGACAGAGATATGAAATGCCCAAAGAATATACTTTGTTCCTGGGAGTAGAACTTTGCCAACTCACCATACAACTTCTAAATTTCGTTAGGAGTAATTTCTAGAAATAAAGGCTAATTTTAAAGGTACTAGTGAAAAATAGTTGCTTAAAGGAAACCTACATCAATTATATCCAAAGGAAACCTACATCAATTATGTCCAAATTTCCAAAAATATTTTACTGTTTTTTTATTTCTGTGGCACTGGAATTTTTGTTTTTGTGACACTGGTGGGACTTGAACTCAGAGCCTGGGTGGTGTCCCTTTTCTACTCACGGCTGTCACATGAGTCATATCTCTACTTCTTGCTTTTTTTTTTTTTTTTTGAGGGAGGGGTTTAATTGCAGTTACAAATCTCACAGATTTTTTTCTGCCTGACCTGAGTTCAAACCACAAGTTTCAGGTCTCAGTCTCCTAAATCACCAGGATTACAGGTGGAGCCAGCAGAGTCTGGCCAAGGTGCTGAGATTTTAATTCAAGCTTCCTGCACTTACTAGGCAAGCACTCTACCATTTGAACTATGCACCCAAGCCTTTCTGTTTCTGTTATTTTTCAGGTAGAGTCTGAGTTTTTCTTAGGGCAGGCTAGCATAGGTGGTATAACAGTCACCTGCCACACCAGGTCTTTACTCCCCTGTTTATCTGGAAAAAAAAAAAAGGGTGCTTGAATTCAAGTGTTTGTAACAAAATTACCATTCTGCACTAACAAGTTAGTGACTGCATGGTTAGACAGCTTTGCTTCTGGGCGTTAATAATGTACTGTCCAGATGAACATGCCCTTTGGGTTTCTAGGGATTCCATTTATGGCTTGACTGTAAGATTGTTACTGTCACAGAGGACAGATCTTAGCTCAAGATTTCAGAGCTCCAGAAGGAAGATGTTTTGTTTCACCCATATGCTGGCACCATCTGGTGTGCTGTTTCAGAGCAAAGAAAGAATTTCAAAGTTCCAGGAAGAAAGCTTAGAGAAGAGGCTTTTGGCCATGTCCACAAGAGTTTCACAACAGGCTAAGGCTGGGTTAAGGATGTGGAGGCAGAGGAAAGCAGACAAAAACCCCAGTTCCCAAATACCAGTTATGAGAGTAAACAGTGGACAAGTCCCGCTGCACAAATCTGATCAGACTCTGTGCCCAGCAGTTTCCTTAGTTTGGGCAAACTCGCTCCCTTTTGCCGATTCTGCAGTCACTCTGAGGATGAGTTCTAGACAGCCGGGCTGGTATCTTGGCCTGGCTTTGGAAAGTACAAGTCTTGGTGGGAACATAGTACCATTACCTCCAGCAAGAACTGGTCTTCTCCTTGCTCCCCATATTTGTTTGTTGCAAGGGGTGGGGCGGGGGGCTTTATTTGTCCCTGTCTGTGCGCATACAAGAATCAGTCTCACCCCCTCCATCACTTTCCATCAGCTGACCAACACCTTCCCCACTCTTCAGCTCACCAGTCCTGGGAGCTCCCCACTTCCCCCATCCTTTCACCGCTCCTTACCCAGAACCCAGACTGTGAACCTACCTTGGCTTGTAAACTTAGAGTAGCTGAAAAGAGATTTGTTTCTCACTACTCGCTTCTTCCTAGTAGGAGACCGAGAGCTGTGGAAACGCAAAGCTGTTTTTTGCTGTCTTGCTGGATCTGGGTGGGGTCTGCGTGGCGCGCGCCTGGGTGTGCGCACGGACCAGGGTTGGGAGCAGAAGGGGGAGGAGGCCCGCGATCCAGCCCCTGGGTGGGTGGACCGCACCCCACTTCTCGGAAGAGGTCCCTCTGCCTGCCCCACCCCTTTTCCTGCCCCCCCCCCCCATCGGCTCAGCGCCAGGGTAGCGGGCCCATGCCCTCTGGGTCGTTCGCGATGGAACTGGAGTGGCGGCGGTCGAGTGTACTTCACCGCCTCGGAGACCAGCGGCAACTCCGCGAGTTTCCAAAGACCAGGAGAGTTCCGGAGATGCCCAGCACTGGTCGTCCCTCACAGTCAATCCGTGCTAACCTCTTGTGGGACAGAATTTGGAAGCGTCTGTACTTGATAGCAAGTTGTCAAAGGGGAAGGGAAAAAAAAAAGGCCACGCAAAGGGCTCGTCCGGGATTTGAACCCGGGACCTCTCGCACCCAAAGCGAGAATCATACCCCTAGACCAACGAGCCACGGCAGAAATAGGGTGCTCAAGTTTCCTCTGAACTACACTTTGCTGCCACCTGTTGGCTGCCAGGCCACGCGGAGGGTCGTTTGCTGTTTTCTGCTCCATCCCATTCCTCCTTCCTGTCCTGCCAAACCTCAACATCTTTTTTTCTCCTTCCTCCCTCCCTCCCTCCCTCCCTCTCTCTTTCTGTCTCTCTCTGTCTCTATCTTTCTGTCTCTCTCTGTCTGTCTGTCTCTGATGTCTGTCTCTGTCTGTCTCTGTCTCTGTCTGTCTTTCTGTCTTTCTGTCTGTCTGTCTGTCTGTCTGTCTGTCTGTCTGTCTCTCTCTCTCTCTCTCTCTCTCTCTCTCTCTCTCTCTCTCTCTCTCTCTCTCTCTCTCTCTCTCTCTCTTCTTTCTTGTAGCACTTGTACCCCGCAATATCCGGTACGGTCCAGGGGATTCTGACCTCGGCGTTTGGACTTTAGGTAAACACCCTAGGATTAACTAGAAGCCAAAAGAAAGCACATCCTGGGAAAGTGGCTCAGGATTTCCAATCTGCCGCAAAATCCCTGAAGAGGTGTCCAAACGACTGTTTAAGAAAACACTGTTCTTATAAAGGTCATGTACAGAGAGGTTGCAGTTACACAAGTCAGGCAATGCGTACGTACTTTTCCTTTTGGACAATGGCACCCCTTCCCCGACTCTCTCCCAGTTTACCCTCTCATCCTATCCACAAGACGTGTACTTTACCTTCAACACGGTGTCTAGGGAGTCTTGCCGCTGCATTTGTTCACTCTGTCCTCCATTTCTGTGCCCCCCTTAGCCTCCCAAAGACGTAAAGGAACTAACGGAAAGGGAAACAGAAAACGGCAACCAAGAAAAAAACACTTCATTTCGATAAATACTCTTCTGGATGGGATGCACATAGGCATTTCGTGGTGCCTTTTGTTCATGTTTTAAGTTGTGATGTACTTCGAAAAGTGTTTACAAAGAACTCCAGAATAAACTGCAAACCCAAAGCAATACCTCTCCTTCAAACTGGAATCGAACCGGAAACCTGGAGGTAACAGTCCTCCAGGTCTACCAGCTGAGCTACAGAGGGGAACGTACCGAGGCTTCTGGAATTCTTTATTCGAGATGTTGATGAGCACAGGCAGCGAGGGAAGGCGAGAATTTGGGGGCCTGGGATACAGCGAACGCACAGGCAAGTCTGTGGGAAAGCCCTGCGTTAGCAAGTGCGGGGACGATCCTTCGAGCCTGCCTCTCTGAGGGGCGTCTTAGCGTAGACACACGGGAGTCGACTCCAGACCCTGAGCGCCTGCAGAGCCGGGGACTGCTGGCCCACGAGTGCGTGCAGGTGCATGCAGCAAGTGCGCGCGCGCACTTCCTCCCCTCACCTCTCTGACCAGGCGCGTCTGCACCCACGGAGGGGAGGGGGAGAACTTGGAATATAATGCACATGAGAAAACCCGGGATCTCTTGTGATTTTAGAAGGAAAATCGTAATTCATTTGATACTATATCAAGTTTAGTGACTCACTGCTTGTGACCCACAAGTGTGGGGCTCCCAGGGAACCCTAGGACCAAGTCTGCAGCGGAGGTCGGGCTCCCCGGCTTTGGGGGTGGGGGAATGTCTTGTTTTTCACATCTGCACACAGCCCACGCAGAAACAGGTTCAGTCCCCCCCCTCCCCCCCCCCCCCCCCCCGGCCGGTTTGCTTCCTACCCGGGTGCTGCTGGGTCAGGGCACGGGACCTGAGTGGCCACACCAGGGCTTCCGCAGCTCCTTGGAGCCTCTGCGGCTTTAGCCTACTGATTCTGGAGCATAAAAGCAGCGAAGGGACTTGATTTCTACACGACCGCGAGGTTCAGTCGAGAGAGGAGGGCAGTTTACGTATAATAAAGAGAAATTCTTTTCTGAAAAAAGGGAATAACAGGCCCCAGCGAGATTTGAACTCGCGACCCCTGGTTTACAAGACCAGTGCTCTAACCCCTGAGCTATAGGGCCAGGCAGAAGGTGGTTCTCTTTCTTTGGTAGAAAAGGAAGCTTTCCTGGCTCTTCACTAAACCAAGTGTAAGACGCAAATAAAATTCTTGATTTTATTTTACCTTCTTTCACAGCTACAGTAATGTAATTCCATCTGCAAACTCTGGTCTAATTGGGAACAATGCTGAGTAGCGAGGGCTTCCATGAGTGCCCACGTCGACATTAACGGATAGATACCGCCCGGTGCATCTGTCTCCCCCACCCCACTTTCAGAATGAAACTTACGGATTCCAATTCTGTATTAGGCACTGCACCAGAAACTAGAGATCCAAACATGAGCTGTAACTTGTAGTCACTATCACAGTTTTGTGGAACCAAAGAACTGCATTTTTGACTGGAAAACGGCCATGAAAGGCAAATGTGCCAGGTGTGAAAGGGTCCCGGATTGCAAAGTCAGCCACCCTGAGGGGCCTGAAGGAAGGGTGGGGTAGAATCGCACAGTGCCGGGGGATTTAGGCAAACGTGAGAGCAGGGCTACCCGTGCCAGGAAAAAAAAAAAAAAAAAGCAAAGCCCAAGAACACATCAGTATTGTTTTAATTTTTATTTTTCATTGTTATTATAAATGTGATGTACAGAGGGGTTACAGTTACATAAGGCAGGTAAAGAGTACATTTCTTTTCCCTCCATATATCCCAGTTTTTCCTCCTGCCCCTACCCAGGAATTGTGTAGCTCCTTTAGTGAATGTCACTGCTACATTTGTTCATCCTTTGTCCATCCATTCAAAGCAGCAGTATTTCAGACTCCATGGTAGAACACTATCTGGAGCAGACACCCCGCCCCCCTTTCCTCAAAAAGGGAAGAGTTAAAAAGATGTGTTAGTAGGTGACAGTAATGACGTTAGACTTAAAAAACAAACAAACAAAAACAAAACAGAAAATGGAAACCCACCAAACATAGATTGCAAAATACATTGAAGAGTAGATAAGCCAGTCAAAGGGAAACACAAGGATGCCCAAGCACAAAACCAAAGGGATAAGAATTATTGAGCCACAAAAGAAGAGATAAAGGAAATTGATAATTAATATGAAACATATAGAGGAAAGAGAGTGGGTTCTCACCAGTACCTTGAAGAAGCAAGGTGATACCTGTAGGAAAAAAAAAAAAAGGAAGTTTGTTCCTAAAGGGTTGTGGAAAGGAGTGCAGTGGACGGGATTAGGTAGGCTACCTTAGAGGTCCTAGCAACCCATAACAATTGTGCTAGTCAGAATATGCTTGTCAGTTCCATGGACTGATTGGTCAAGGTTAAGTCAAATCACATAAGTCATTCATTGAGTTGGAGCCAGAGTTAGGAACTCATTAAGGAGAATAAAATGAGAAAACAGCAGAAGCCTGGATATGAGCTTTATGAACAGTCCTATTATAACCATATCTATGGCTGTCCCATATCCCTTAAACATTTTAAGTCCAGTCATTTACATATGAGTAAATCTGTTTAAGAAAACTTGTTTTCATGGGTTGGGAAGCTGGCTCAGTGGTAGAGTACTTGCCTTGCATGCTTGAGGCCCTGGGTTTGATTCCTCAGCACCACATAAGCAAAAAGAGAAAACTTGTTTTACCAGTTTAGACAGCAAAGTGACATGACCTGGGTTCCACTGATCGGGCAGTGAGGAAAGGGTACAACTTGAAGCAAAAGACTAGTATATGACCCCATAGGGGAGAAACCTCATATTTTCGCAGATATGGGAGTAGGTATTGGTTTTGCTTTAGTTCTGCAAAAAAAATACACTGCATGACCTAAACAACTCATGTTTTCTTTTATTGTGAAAATATTGTACAGAGGAGTTATAATTACGTCGGCAAGGTAATGAGTACATTTCTTATCAAGCATTGTTGCCTCCTCTGTTGTTTCCCCTACCATCCCTTCCCCTCCCCCCCCCCCCCCCACCTGCCATGGAGTCAAGGAAGTTGCCCTAAAGGAGTGACCGCTAGGAAAGGGACCTTTTCCAGCAGATCTACTTGGGAGGAGATGAACTTGCAAATGAAGACCGCTCTGTTGCCCATATCTGCGCATCCATGTCTCCTGGAGCTGAAGAGAATTAGTAGGTTTGGGCTACCAGTATAAAAGTTTGTCTTGATCCTTTCATGCACCACTATGTGTAGAGAGCTGCGTGCAGCCGCACCTGGAAGATGGCGCTGGCTTCCGCCCTCCGCCTTCCCTATGGCGAGTGCTCATTGTGGTAAACAACTCCTTATATGGCTAAGGCAAAGAATCTGGCTTGCTTCCTCGCACCTGAGCCTATTGGTGGATCCTACGTGGCGTATCAGGGTTGGCTACCCAGGGGGTACTTAAGGCTGTGGGGAATTTTCCCCGGGGTTGGGGTCAGAAGATTACTCAAAGGTCCTGAATAAACTGCAGAGAGAAGAGCTGGGTGTCGCGTCTTCCTTGCTGGTCGAGGTGGTCGTGACAACTATGTTTCCAGTAGATAAATGTTCTCCAAGCTTCAGAACCTAAACGAATCTTTGCTAAATTTAGCAAAGAATTTGAAATTCAATAGCAAAGAGCT